GACGGGGTTGCCGAAACTCATCTTGCTGCTAGTGGTTTTTGTGTTGGTCACCGACACCAGGCAGTAGGAGAAACTCCCCTGGCCCACCTGATTCACGAGCGACAGCTCTCCGCGCCCGAGCCCAACCATGCCAGAAGTGTAGCCCGTGTAATCGCATCCGAACGTGATGTTACTCACCGAGGTTCTGTCGAACGTGATGGTGTCCGCAAAGAGGTCACCCGTGGCAATAGTCCCGTCAAAATATTGCATGGTGAAGTTGCATTTGTTTCCTACTGGGTTACACTTGGTGAGGTCGTCGCAGATGGTAGGGGTGCACGGGACGGGAGTCGAGAAGCTAGCTGGACTGCTGCATGGGGCCCAGATGAGGTCACTTCCAGTGTCGGGCATGCCTGAGGTAGAGAATGAGCCGATTGAGTAATTGACGAGATAATCGCCTCCCGAGTTCGAGATAGTGGGGTTGGGCAATGGCGTTTGTGCGGAGAGCTGATGAGTGGAGGAGAGGGACGAGTCCCGGCGAATTAGGGTGACTGTAGGGCTAGTATTACTATTTTGGCCGCCACATTCCGTGAAGGGGGTTAGGATGAGAAGGGAGATGAAGACAGCTATTATGAGAATATTCATGATAGTTGTCATGTCTTACAATAGAAATTGGGGGTGTCTATATGTACACCTCCTTGTGTGTAAAAAAGGGGTGTACATATAGCATTGCCCTTTGTGTAATTTATTAAAAATGGGTGTACATATAGCATTGCCCTAGAAATTTAGAATACAAGATTTTGTCAAGGAATGCATATCTTGTGCTATTTCTATTCCTATTTATAAAGGCTCAAGGGTGATCAAGTTCTTGTTGGCGTGACCTTGTGAATAGTTAATTTGGAAGACTTTTTGTACCAAAAAAAAAAAAAAAAAAGAATTTGGAAGACTTTAATGATGAAGTTATGATTTCTCGTGGACATTTCATCACACTTTCCATTTTTTTTTTCAATGACTCAATTTTCGCATGTTTTTACTAATAACTTTTCGACCAGTCAAATCTAAATTTAGACAATTTGAACCGCATGTTTTTACTAATAACTTTTTGACCAGACAAATCAAAATTTAGACAATTTGAACCGCCGAAAAATAGGTTAGAATTGTTGGCTTATCATTTTCTACATTAAGTTGTACGGGATGAACATGGGTTAGTGCAGTTCGAAGATTACTAAAATTCAATTTTCAAAACTCATAATTAGTAAGTTGACATCCTTGACAACCCGCTCTTGAACTCCTCTGTCAGTCTCAAACCGTCCTTCTCTCGACCTCTTGGCTCTAAAAAGCATCGAAAACCTTCCGATGTAGACACTGCGATGCTTAGTATATCTCGCCACCGGAAAGGGCAATGTTACTCCAAATTTATGATAATGGAAGAATATTTGTCATGGACATTTCATCACCATTTTTCATTTTTTCAATGACTCATTTTTCTCATGTTTTTATTAACAACTTTTTGACTAGTCAAATCAAAATTTAGACAATTTGAACCACTGAGCTAAAAAACAAGCTGGAATTGTTGGCTTTTATTTTCTACATTAAGTTGTAGGGGGTGAGCATGGGTCGGTCGGGTCTGGAGATTATTAAAATTCAATCTCAGAAACTCATAAGTAAGGTGTGTTGACATCCTTGAGAACCCGATCTCGAATTCTTGTGCCGGTCTCAAACCGTCCTTTTCTCGACATCTTGGCTCTGGATCGACCCAACTTGGTGGGCGGAACACCTGAAAAAGCACCGAGCTTTCGTTTTAGACACTCTGATGCTTAAGTTAGTATGTCTATCTACCACAAAGGTCAATGTTACTCCAAATTTATGATAATGGAAGAATATGATTATTTGTCATGGACATTTCATCATCTTCTAATTTTTTCAAACACTCAATTTCACCTATTTTTATTAATAACTTTTTGACTAGTTAAATCAAAATTCAGACAATTTGAACCACTCACCTACAAAATAGGCTGGAATTGTTATCTTGTCATTTTTTACATTAATTTGTAGGGGGTGAGCATGGGTCAGTACAGTTTGGATATTACCAAAATTCAATTTTTCAGGACTCATAATTAGTAAGGTGTGTTGACATCCTTGACAATTCGCTCTTGAACTCATGTGCCAGTCTCAAACCGTCCTTATCTCGACCTCTTGGCTCTGGAAAGCACCGAGAACCTTCCGGTGTAGACACTCTGATGCTTAAGTTTGTAACGCCCCGAACCAGTTTCTATATATTAGCTCGACTTTATTTATGTCGAAATATTTATTATTATTTGCATAATTAAAGTCTTAAGTCTAAGCAAGGGAGAAATCGTTCAAATTTATTTTGAAAAAAAAAAATAAAATTTCAAGTCTAAGTCTCGATTTATAATTTTAATCGAGTATTAGAAAAGTCGAGAGTTTATTAACTTTCCGTGCCAAGCTATTTTATTTCGGCCCAAGTAGGCCCAATTATTTCGAGCCCATAATTCAGCCCATTATTTTCGAGATATTTTAATTCAAAATTGTTGTTGTATGGGATTTAACAACTATAACACAATATGATTAAAGCGAAAAAAGTGAAGATTTCTATTATTTCAGAGTAGCTGTGTACAAGAAGTCGGTATGTGTAAACCGAGTGTGTGTCATTCTCGTACAATAATGAATTCTGCTATTTATAGCAAAACATGTTTGACTTTTGGTACGAGGTAGATAGAATTGCATTTAATGCGGTGCAGTTTTTTGAAGCGGTCTGCCTATCAACGGGGGAACAATAATGATTGTCTATTTTGCACGTGGCCCAATTATTTGAGTTCCTTGTCACCTGCTTCGAAGTTTGATCATGTCGGACCTCGGTTTGAAAATTGATTCTTTGAGAAAGAATCCTCGGAAAGTCGGTTATGTCCGTGAACCGGAGTCCTGACGGATGTTGTACATGAGGTCGGTTTAATCCGTAGCTTATACCGAGTTGAACTAAGTTGGACGTGTAGGCATGTACAGGCGGTAGCCTTGCCTAAAAGCCATTAATCTTTATTTTAACCTTGATAAATCAAGTCGGTTGATAATAGTGAGGCCCCGACATTAGCAGGCATACGGGTTGTTGTGGCTGGTGATGTTGTTATTATATATAGAAAAAAAAAACCGATCTGATGCACTCTTATTTGGATGTGCTTTTTATAGTGATGTTCTTCGTAATCCGAAGTCAGAACACTTCGCGATATTCGGTTCACTTCTGTCTAAAGTGGAAACGGCGTAACGGTTGCATGTACACACGGCGGTTACGAAAAGGCGTGCCCGTATTTAATAGGTACTATGGATATAAGTGCTATATGAGGTGTAGGCTTTTGATTTGTCCACCTGTATTAATGAGGGAGCATCGAAACGTTTCGCCATTTCGCCATTAAGGGATGCGTTCTTACACGCGCCCTTCTCTCAACATTCAACGGTCATAATTGGGACACTATAAATACGAGTTATTTGAATCTTTGAAGGTTTCACCTCTATTATTTCTGAATTCGCAATCTCTCGAGTTTATTACGTCACCCTCGGCCTGATGATTATCCGACCTCTCTGGCCTTCGACCACCTATCAACCGAGTTCAGTTGGTCCATTTCTCAAGTCAAGTCAACCCAAAATAGCATCCCATATCAAATACAACCTTAATATAGATTCGATAAACGGGCCACAGCTTAATATAATTTCCCCGTATATCACATGCCCACATCATTCGTGTATGAAGTATTGAATTTAAAATGGCATGAATATAAACAAACTAATTGATGAATGGTAGAAGAAAGATCTGTTTAACAAAAAAGGCAAAAGTCAGAGCACCAGGTTAAGTAAGTAAAAGAAGTTTCCCTACATTAGTCTTCTCACTGAAAATAAGAAAATGCTGAGTTTGGTTCATAAAAATTCTCACTGAAAATAAGAAAATGCCGAGTCTGGTTCATAAAAAGGTTGAGAAGGTTAAGCCAGAATAAGGCAATAAAACCCATCGAGTCAGATTACTCACGTTTCGAGGTCTGGTAAACTCAGACTGACTGTGTTTTTGGGTCAGATCTGGGTAGAGTATTACTAGTTTACTACCCAAAAAGTGCTCATACGGGGAATCAGATTTTCCAGATTACCTAATATTTTCACCCACCAATAGTCAGTTTCAATCAACTCAACAGCAAGTTCGAAGAGAGAGACATAATGCTCCAAGTACTAGAAAGAGACTGCAATCACCCGAGTATCCATAAGTAGCAAGTATTATTCCACACCCAACGGGCAAGGGGAGCGGACGTGAAACAAGAGACAAAGCAGCTTAAAGTTCCGAAAAAAAAAGGGAAAAAAAAGGGGAAAAAAAAAAGAGAGAGAAAAGGGTTATACATTATATATTCGTGTTATGTTTGTATATTATATATATGTCAGTTACAAAATAGCACATCTGCCACTTTCAGCCTGCTTACGTAGCTCTTCCGTTTCCCTCTGCGCCCTCTCCAAATGCTCTCTCAGTTTGCGAATTTCATCGTTTGATTTCGATTGGGCAGCTTGAGCCATTGCTTCTGCTTTGAGCCTAGCATTTTGCTCCTCTGCAAGTTGCTTCTCAAGCCTATGTGTGGTCTCCTTGAGCTTCGACTCGACCTGTAAACATCAATAGTTAACGTCAACATAAAAGGTCAAATAAGCAACGTTTGTCACCTTTTCCAACACCTCAAACATTGCAATTAGTAAATTGTAAAGGGCAAAAACAGCACAAACTAACCATCTCGGTTATCCTCTTAAGCTGTTCCTCGTATGATCTATGAAACTGATCCGTTAGATAGGATATTTCCTGTTTGGAGTACCCTCCCATGGCATTAACTTCGGCAGTTTGGTCACGCAGCTTGATTGCTCCTTTCTGTTGCACATTTGTTATCATTCAAAAGCAATCATTATTACAAACATTCAAGTACCGTTGTGTATAAATTATTTCTATGCAGTAATGATGTAATAACTGATAATATGAATGTCTAACCTTGAGCTCAACAAAAAGCTCATCAGTGTAAGGTTTCCCACCATTTTTATCCACAACAGCATTCACAAGGGAAAGAAGTTGCTTCAGTTGTTTGGATTTCTTGCCTGCTTCTTTTGTCTTGTTATCGAACAGAACACGCCTATTCCCGCACATCCTCAGAATTTCCTGTATCGTGACCGAAAATAAAATTATGAAACAACATTCTTTTAGCAAGGAGGGGTAAAGAAGGGAAAACCCATTTCAACGTAGAAGAAAACAAGCATTGCCGCTTGATTCATATATCCATGAGTACTGTAAACAAACTGCAAATGTAGATTAACTTAATAAATCAGGATTATGCATACTTAATTTTCTTGACCTGTAAGTTGAATCAAAAGGGAAAACAATAATAAGACTCATAGAACAATTTACCTTCAAAGGCTCAGGAGAGGCACCCAAGTAATCATCCAGAGTTCCATCATTTTCTTCCAGGTCATCACCGCCAGTGAACACCACAACCATATAATCACTAATTTTGTCACCAAAGAACTTCCGCAAGCTCTGAACGGCTGCTTCTTCTTCTCTTGAAAACCGAGACCTCACTGATAGGACGACAAGAACAGCATGTATACCATCCTTGGCCATATTGATGCACTTAACAATTTCCTTTCCAATAAACTCGGGTTCAGCAGAAAAATCAAAGAGTCCTGAAAAATTACAAATTAGTTTTGATTTCAAAACACACATCGAACGAACATAGAAACAATACTAAATTCGTCGTCATTAATATAAAAGTATGGTACCTGGGGTGTCGATCACATTAAGGATCTGTCCTTCTTCCAGAATGGTTGTCTGCAGTTCACATGTACTGGTGACACCAGCAAAGCTAGAAATTGACCTAAACGCCCTTCTGCCAAGGATACTATTGCCGGTTGCGCTTTTCCCATTTCCCGTTCGCCCGACCAAAACTATGGTTCTAACCTCACTCAGAGGCGTAGCGAATAACTCCCAATCATCGTCAACTGCACTTCCCCCCATTTTATTACAGATCGAAACTTATCTGCCAAAAACCAACATACACATTCACTTATACAATTACAGGTACACAAAGAACAATGAGGAGAAAACAGGAATCCTTTACGCATTGCACCAAACTCCCCCATTTTGCGTGATTCTTGTTCACCGATAAGCACTTTAAAGGGTGATTAAAAAAAAAAAAAAAACCCTTTTTACAGTTACTAGTTATCATAACCCTAAACCGGTCACCCACAAGAATCACCAAAGCCCTCTGTGCCGAAAAGGATAAAAATTGAAACTTTAAGACACCAAAACATGTCAACCTAAAAACATCGAATCCGACAACCTTTACAGACCCACATAAAACATAAGTGATACAAAATTCTCAGTACATCACATGAATTAAGCATCTGGGACTGTGAAAATTTCGAATAGAAACCATAAATCGGCAACAGATCATCATCAAATCGCTACGATAAAACCGATAATCTTGGAAAGAAAAAAAAAAAAAAAAAAAAAAGGTAATCCGACGTACCTGTTCAAGTCTGAACTCTCAAGTCTTGGGAGTATGTGGAAATATCTCTCTCTACTTTGCTCATGCCAAGATAAGAATGTTGCTCGGACTATGATTCATTATCAGCCATTGGATAGTAAATTTTATGGACAGTTGGCTAAAATAGATGGAAAAGATCTGTCATTTCCTTGGATTTTTCTTCATTTTTACGTTTGCTTTTTCTATCTATATATACTATTTTTTAAATATAGCAAATTTTTTCCTCCAAAATTATTAATTTAATCTAATTATAGTAATAGTTGGACAATTGTCAATAGTTAATAAGCACAAAATAGGGCTCCTTAAGGGAGTGATTGTATATAAATTAAATAGTAAAAAATCTAATCAAAATTCAAATTTAACTCAACTTTAACTCTACCCCACTATCTTCAATATTAATAATATAATTAAATAATATCAACCAATCATTCTTATACATCACATCAACTTTTATTCAATATCCATCCACTCACATAATTCTAACTAACTATCACTTCCAATCATTTTTCTTCTATTTTACATCAAATCAACTTTAATTATTTTATTTAAATATTATTTTAATATATCCACTAACAACTAACCACACTACTTTTCTTAAAAATTAACTATAGTTAAAAATAAACTAAATAAAAATTAGTTTTTTTACTATTGAACTATAAACAATCACCACTTAAATGTAGTGTTCCCTTAATTATAGTTTGCACAATTAAATAGGCGTTCAACAACAAATTGGATTGGCTTTTTTGATTAAACTTTCCCACAACAATATCAGAATTTTTGTTTTACATATAAATCTGATTTTTTTTTCAACACAAAATCCGCTTAAAGTTTAGATATTCACGTGTACAATTTATTTACATATTGGATTCTCATTAGGAATGAAACTTTTAATTGCACTGGGGGAAATATGACATTAATTAAAAAATATTTTCTTGGTGTGTACAAAGTAAGTTGCTAAATAATTGGAAAGAATCCCACCTTGCTTAGAATTCGAATATCATGCAACTCTTCACAACATTTTGTCCGCATTTATCCGATGTTAATTGGAAAGTAAGTTGCTAAATAATACAAAATCTCATCTTGCTTTGGAAACGAATATTATAATCTATATATATATATATATATATATATATATATAAACAGATTTACCGTTTTTTAATAATAGCAGGTCAACTTTCAGGTCAATTTCAGACAGCATTAAATATTTACTAATTTAGGTAAAAAAAAAAATTGAGTAAAACCGGGCAAAAATAAATGTTGCCCTTAATTTTTTTGATTCGTTGATTTCAAATCTAATCTTTTGGCTAAATTATGATATTCCGCAATTTTTTTTTATTTGTTTTCCCTAAATATGTGGTAGTGTTTTGGATTAAATTTAATATCATTTTTTTTATTAGAAAACCAATTAACATATATATATTGATTTGCTCATTTTACAAAAATCATCATTATTGTCACACAATATTTTTAAATATTAAATTAAATTTATACTACAAAACTTTATGTTTGCTAATATAAAATCGCCATTTTTTTTATTAATGTGATATAATAATGGGATATTATTTTATTAATAATAATCAGATTAACACTTGATTTTCATATCAAAATAAATTGTAGGATTTGTTACAAAACTCTAAAACTCTAATTGGATATGGAACTTTCTAATATATAGAATTTGTTACACTTTGTATTTCAAAAATCTCAAGTTAACAATTGACTGAAATTCTAATCATTTTTAATAACTCAATTTTGAATTGAGTTCCACTTTATGGTATCCAGTAAATCAATGTTTTAAAATTTAAAGTAACTAATATAAAGAATTTGGTTCAATTTACAATTCAAATATATCTACATATATATATAGATTCGAAACCCATAACAAGATTATTAAAATTTGACTGAAAATCTAGTCAGGGGCGGTCGACCGAATTAACAAATCTAGTCAGGGGCAGGTGGTGGCAGTCGACCGAATCTGAAGGATGGGTACTCTAACTGGTCCATCCGAATGAGCGTCCGAAGCCGGAGAGGAATGTCCTCAGGAAGAAGGGTGCGTTTCTGGGGTAAAGATGCCCCCGTGCTAGCAAGGAAATCGGCGGGCCAATTCCCCTCCCGGAATATGTGCAAGACCTGGTAATGAATCGAGCGGAGGGTGTCTCTGATGCGCATAAGAGGATGTTGGATCTGCCATGAGCCCTGGTGGCCAGATGTCAAAAGTGTTATGACAGCCGTAGCATCCATCTCAATCCAGACATGAGAGGAGATTGAGGCAGCAATCTTAAGACCAATCTGGAGCGCATGAATCTCAGCATCATAAGTCGAGGAAGCCCGAAGTGGCCCATGAAAGGCAGAGATGAGTGCCCCACCATGATCCCTAATCAGGCCCCCTCCTCCAGCAGCTCCGGTATGTCTGTCGAAAGTGCCATCAGTTTTTAGCTTAACTCAAGGGGCCTTGGGTTTCAGCCAACAACAGTCCTGGGTCGTGGGTGCTGGACAGGTAAAGGAGGTGGTGGCCTCAAACGATGGGGCGGTGTACACCCTGTCCAGTCTCACGTCGTGAGTCTACCCAGGGCGGTGAGGAGGGAGAGGTGTCTGTCAACCTGCAAAATAATGTGAGCACAAGAAAATATAATATCTCTATGCTTCGCATTATTCCTTTCTCTCCAGGTGGCCCATAGGATCAGACAAGGAATAAGGAAGCCCACGTGTCTACTGTATGTGCCGTGAGAGAAAAAACTCAAAAGCTCAAAAAAACTATCTGTAGTGGGTATGGGTATATGAGTATATCTGGCATAGTGCTCCCACACTCTCCTCACAGTCTCACTCTCAAGGAAAAGATGGGTGAAAGTCTCGATCTCAAAGGTACTGGTCTCAGCACAACAAAAGGAGCGGGAGGGAAATGAGAAACCTCTCGCCTGCATCACAGTGTCAATGGGAATGCGCCGTAATAGGAGGCGCCACAAAAAGACGGAAATGGTCGGGGTGAGAAGGTCGGTCCATATGGCCCCGAAGAGGCGGTTTGGCCGGTTGCCCAGCCTCACATCTCCCAAGGCTGATGACGTAGAGAATGCACTCGAAGATGTAAGCACCTCATGCCATCCAAACCTCCCTCCAAAACAGGAATCTGTCGGATCTGGTCAATCTCTATACTACTAAAACCCGCACCCTCAGCAAGAATATCCTCCATCTTATCTCTATCTCAAAAACCACCCGTCTGAAGGTCCTTCACCTGCATGAAAGGCAGGTGAGTGAAAGGCCAAGTACTCGAGAGAGAGGCCTCGTTGAACCACCAATCATCCCGGAAGCTAACCTCCCCAGAACCCAAGGTCCAAAAAATGTGCTACTGAGCACGCCTGCCAACAATGGTGAGTCGTATCCACTGTCGACTATCCCGAGCGGTGGCTGTCACCCTGCAAGGATGGGCAGCACCACCAGGGCAATATTTCCTCATGAGGTATTAGGCCCAAAGGGACTTGCCCTCCCTGAGGCGCCACCACATCCTATAGGAAAACGCAGTAACCATATCAGAGAAACGCCGAATCCTGAGCCCACCCTCAGAGTGGGGACGACAGATGGAGTCCCACTTCACCCAGTGGGTCTGCCGCCGGCTACGCGAGCCCTCGCCATAGCTCCAAAAATAGCGGGCTAAGATCTGGTCTAACTCATTGATCGTAGACTGGTGGGGGTCAAGCACCGCAAGAAGGTGAAGAGGGAGGGCACAAAGAGTGCTCTTTATCAGAGCAAGTCGGCCTCCGAAGGATAAGTGTCCATGAGACCAGCCAGAAATCCGGTCAATCATCCTCTGACAGGCGTCAATGAAAAGCTCATGGGAAAGATGGCCTTTGTATAAGGGGGCCCCAAGGTAAGGGATGGATAAGTCCCTACGAGCAAATCCAGTGCGCTCGTGAATCTGGTGAGCCTAATGGTCTGCAACGTGGTGGTCCATGATAAAGGTACTCTTACTGACACTGACTAGCTGGCCAGATGTCTCACTGTAGTGGTCCAAAAGACTCATGAGAGCTACTAGCCCATTATCATTTATCATTCGCATGAGTGAAAATGATAATGTCATCCGCGTAAGAAAGGTGGGAAATGGGAGGCCCACAACCACGCGTGCTGTAGGTCATCCTCGAGAATCGCGAATGAAGTCATCAAGGCAGCGAGAGAGGTAGTCAGCCACCAGAACAAAAAGGGAGGGGGATAAGGGGTCCCCTTGACGAAGGCCGCGGGAAGAAGGAAAAAGGTCGTGGGGCTACCATTAATCAAAACGGAGAATGTGCAGTGCTCCACACACGCCTCCACAAAGTTGATCCAACGGTTAGGAAATCCCATCCAAACCAGTACCTCTCTGAGAAACGACCACTCGACCCTATCATATGCTTTGGCCATGTCTAGCTTCAGCACGAGGTTCGGGGTTCGTGTTCGATTCGCATGAGAGATGTCATGTATCATCTCCTGAGCTAGTAGGATATTATCACCAATGACTCGATCCTTGATGAATCCACTCTGGTTCAGAGAGACAAAGTGGGGGAGGAGAGGGGCGAGGCGACCGTTGAGGATTCTAGAAATGATCTTGTTAGTCACGTTGCATAAGTTGATGGTCTATAGTCAGACCAAGAACTAGGTCCCGATCTCTTCAGGATCAAAATGATGGAGGTTGCCGTGAAGGACTCTGGCATCTGGTGGCCAGAGAAAAAATTCCCTCACAGCTTCCTCTACGTCAGTGCCCACAATCTCCCAGCAAGACTGGAAGAAGAGGGACGAAAAACCATCCGGTCCGGAGACGCTGTTGGGATCGATCCCAAACACAACCTCCCTGACTTCCTCCTTACTCGGGAGGTCACAGCGGTCAACAAGGTCGACCGACTGCGGGATGGTCGGAAAGAGGGCCGGGTCGGGGTGCGTAAGCAAATCCCGCTCAGAGGAAAAGAGGGAGTGGAAAGCCCTAGCCGACTCCCGTATCTAGGACTCCTGGGTCACGGATGACCCGTTATCCTCGACACTATGGATATACGACTTGACTCGCTTCTGCCTCGTGAATCCCTGGAAGAACTTGGTATTACGCTCTCCCTCAGCCACCCAGCGCACAGCAGCCTTCTGCTTCCAGAAATCTTCCTCCATGATGAGGCGCAACTGGTACTCAGCATGGCAGCGGCGCATCTCGGACCTATTCTCTGGCGAAGAATCCAATCATAGGTCCGTTCCGCCTCCACATACGCAGTCTGAGCTGCAATAATGCGCTGAAAAATATCACCAAAAATTGTCCAGTTCCACTGCTTCTGAACGCGGCGGAGTATCTTGAGCTTCACCTCCAGGTTGCGCGTCCCATAGAGGTGCGTAGCCTGCTGCCAGGAGGCTCTAACAGTGTCGTAGTAATAATAGTGGCGGACCCACATGTTCTGGAAGCGAAAGAACGCTCGCCGAGGGGAAATAGAGAACCGACAACGAATCAGAAGGGGGGCATGGTCGGATCCAATTCGAGGAAGGTGCGTTACAACCGTGGTCGCAAACACCCTCGTCCACGCCTCTGAGTAGAGAGCGCGATCGAGCCTCTCCTTGACTCCGGCCCTCTCCCACGTATAGGGAGCCCCTTTGTAACCAGCGTCGATGAGCTCACAATCCGATACAGCATGCGAGAAATCTAAGATCTCCGCAGAGCGGTCCGGTATACCACCAATGCGTTCATCGAGATGCAAGAATATGTTAAAATCACCGCTAATCATCCACGGTAATCCCTTCATACTCTCAGCAATCTCACGCATGGTGTCCCAGAGGTCATAGCGACCAACCCTCGCACAGCTGGCGTACACCAAGGTGTGGAAGATCGGCTTCGGAAGATGGGCGGCGGAGAGCTTCACGTGCAAGACTTGATCAGTATCTCGAAGGATCTGACAAGTAAAGTCACGCGAGTGGAAAAACAAAATCTTGTTAGAGGTATTTCCCATCCCGGCATGAAAGCCAAGACGTCGTGAATAAAAGTCAAAAGAAGGGTCACGAGTCATAGGCTCTAAGAAAGCTGCAAAGTCAAGGTTATGCTCACGAATGAGAGATCTAACATGAGCAAGGGTGGTCCTATTAGCCAGACCACGGGCATTCCATGTAAGCGATGTGACTGACATGTCAAACGTCAGTGGGACCACCTAACTAGAGTTGTCCGTGGTTAGGCTGTGTCTGTATGTCTGGTAGGGTCAGAACTCGGCTAGCAGAGAGCTGCACAGTCATCGATCTGGTCTGTGGTCTATGGTGCTCTGGGATCTCCTGGAAAGGTCCCCCTCGTATAGGGGGAAACTCCTAGGGTAAGAGGATGAGTTGTAGGTGCTCCAAGCCCTCGGAGCTCTGCGCCTGGCTGTCGGGAAGACGGACCAGACCCGCTAGCGGGGGATGAGGGGGAAGTGAAAGGGAGGGTAGGGGTCGAGCTGGTGGGAAAAAGAGTGAGGTAAGGTGGGGGGAGGGCTCTACGCTCATGAGAGCTGAGGAGGAAGGAGGAGCCTCAATACACAATGGGATGACGGAACACTCTATCTTATCCACTAATAGATCATCATCAACAAAAGGGGAGTTGGTCGATGCTCCCAGCTGGTCGGAGGAAATGTGGAACTCCTCCTCCGACTCTGAGTCAAGCACAGAGAAGCGGGAATGGGTAGCTATGGGAGCTGACTGGAGGGACTGGTGGGGGAAAAGGCTTGTAGCTTTGGCCTTAGACCTATCGAGGTTAACCTCATTGGGCTGTGTGCCCTCAAAGGTGACCTTGCCCTTGACCTTTTGCCCCTTCGGGTTGGGGCCGTGGGCCGGGGCATTTCCCTTCTCCTTAGGTCTCCTCGGGGCGATAGTAGAACCCTGTATAGGAGATAAAAGAGAGAGAGAGAGAGAGAGAGAGAGAGAGAGAGAGAGAGAGAGAGAGAGAGAGAGAGAGAGATTTCTCCTATATAGGAGATAAAAATTTAAGTGTAAACTTGTAGAAGAAGAAGAGAGAGAGGGGGGAGAGATAAGAAGAAGAAGAAGAAGATAGAGGGTGAAGAGAGAGAAAGTGCAGTGGGAGAGAAGATTATTACCAATGACCTCGAGAGTCGCTTTTGGAAGGTGATAAGTTTACTACAAAATTAAGTTAATTATTGATTAAATATGTAAATTATTGCTATAAGAGATTCCTGGTTATTTATACAAATAAAAATAATAGATCTTGCTATATTGTCAATATTTATAAATTGGTTCAATTTATGTAATAAAATGAGATTTGTCTTGTATAGAGGGTAATTTTTTCAAAAACCTATCGCCTATTTTGGCACTTGGAGTGTCGTTTTAAAACTTTTTAAAGTTTGATATTTTATAAGATTTAGTTGAAATTCTTAAATATTTTATTTGGTGTTAAATTTTGAAAATGTAGTTCCTAAATATTAAAAAGTAAATAAATTCAAGTGATAAATAAATTGAATATCTTTGCTTGTTTGGAAACACTTATTGCGAAGTCATTTAAAGATAAACTTTTTTAGAAGTGACGTGACCAGTATAAATTTATTTGAAATAAATCTTTTGTGAGAATATATTTTTAAAAGTTTTTATTATTTATATTAAACATCTTTTTTATTTTTTATTTTTTATTTTATTTGGAAAATAAACTTTTATAGTCAAAAAGCCCATTTGAAAGTGCTTCCAAACATTTCTACACTTTGTGAAATTGCAAATGAAAACGTCAAGACTATTTTTAGAAAAAAATTAAAAATATCCAAAATAAATACACAAAGATTTATAAAGCACTAAAATTTATAAAATCACAAAATTTTTAAATAGGAATGAATAACGGCTCAAGTTTAATTATTAATGGCTAATTAAACCAGGGTATTATCACTTGCAACTTTTCAGAAAGATAAATAAACATGTTCCAAATTTATAATGATTCCGTCTTTTGGTGCTTATAAACATTGTAAACTTACAAATATATCACCAAAGTTAAAAACTATAATTCCAATCAGGTCTATGGTAAACTAATGAGTTGCATATTGTTGTCTACTGTATTGACTAAAGAAAAGAATCTGTTGACGCTGAGAATCATAAGTTTGTATAAAGAAAGTCTGTCCTAAGGAATTTGTGCGATTTCGATCAGTATCTTATGCAGCGACTGAGGCTTTGAGAAGAAAGGGCAATGGTCGCTGCCTTTGATGTTGAAGACTCGTTGAGGTGGGTTATCATGGACGAGCCTCTCTTGGACCTCCGGCAAAAGGGCATTATCTTCCAGCGTTTGGATGTAATAACGGTGCCCTGATCCGTATTTTTTTGCCGATAAAGACATTTTCTCCATCATCGGGCCAAGTGGAATGGGCTTCATTGAAACCATTGCTAGAGCAACATCCTGAACGAGCCACATTACAGCAATCAACCTCGTGATATTTATTCGAGAATCGAGTTATACTTCAAAGTCTTATTTAATGCAACTCGTAAGGTGGATAGGACTTTGTGTTGATCAAAATTGACGAGCAATTGTTTTTTCATTTTACGTTTATCTCAGTGTCATATCATATAACTTAATTAAAATGTTGACTGAACAGGAATTAGGCAACACCCTACAAAAAAAAGAAAAGCACATAATGAGATGCAAACTGCACCTTTGCAGGGGACTGATTGAAATATAAACCACGCATAATGTTCTTCTCAAACACGAGCCCCGTTGGAGGATTGTCTTTACCATTGCCATAAATTAGAAACTTCGACTGGCGCGAGAAAAGTTGTTCATAGCCAAGCTGCAAGAAGCAATTTCGAGAAGGCATTTGACAATACAGAATATTAAAAAATAAAAAATAAAAAATAAAAAACACAGGATGAGAGCTATAAACTAATTTATAGGGGGTTGTACTGCAAACTGGTTTAAAACGCCTGCCGATTATTCCGAGTCAGAGATAAATTCAGGAGTGAACAATTTGTGGATATCTTTTTTTCACACAGAGGAAACAAATTAAGAGTGCAATGTCAACATCAGAAGTTAGATTAAACAAACCTCTTTTTGAGCAAAAACATCCAAAGGCCTCTCCCCATCAGCTATCATAGTAGCACAAAGGTAAACAGCTTTCAAGATCTTCTCGGGTTGATGCTCTAATGCATAAGAAACGCAAGCACCTCCGCTACTATGACCAACCAATATTACCTACACACACACACCATACAAATGCCCCTGTCAAGAAAAAGAAAAACGGAACAAAGACTACAACCAGACAGACAGACAACTACTGATATAGTATTTCCTTAAACCTGTTCATCAGCCGGTAAATTTTCAAGAAAGTCGATCAATGGTTTTGCGTAGTCTGCAATAGTAGCTACATTGTTTGAATGCGTGATATCGATACCAGAGGCGGCAAGATCCAAAGCAATTGGGACTAATCCAGATTCCTCAAGTAGTGCAATAGTTTTATACCAACACCAAGCCCCAAATCCTCCTCCATGGACCAATACAAACTTCTTTCTCTTGATATTCTCCAAATTTTCCAACTATTAAAGGATATACACTTAAAACAATGAGCAAAAACTGACAATAGCATTACTGCACAAAATGTAAAGACCGAATAGGCGAATAAAATGGACCCGGGAACGTAAGAAACGACAAATACAGGATTATATAGTTCCTAATCAAGACTTGTTATCAACAGAACAAGAGTGTGGTCCATGTATATGAATGTTAAAAGAGTTTCTTGTCACCCCCCACAAGAAAACCATACAAAATCCACAATAATCAAAACTATTATATGGGTCAAGCAACATCAAAGTAACTAAACATTTTATAAGAAAATGACTGCACAAGTCTTTCACAGTGAAGCACATTGCACCTCAGTGAGGTTCCATCCAAAAACCGATAGGAGGAGTAGCCCACTAGACATATAAACTAGACTCATTTACCCTATCAAATAAATGTGGGACGACTCACAATCGATAATTCAACACTTTCTTTCCTGTGGGGCCTTGAAAATCTATACACCACTCAAAGAACTCGCTTCTCTTCCCTTTCAAACCCTAATCATTACCCCTAACATAGACACACACGGTCCCAAAACCACAAAAAAAAAAAAAAAATGTAACCTTTTCAGACAAATCAGTGGGGCGGCGGCGAGAGCTCGTGGACCCGACGCGCCTCGACATCGAACCGTTGTTATTACAATCAAATCTTTGAGAAACCTGACTGTGTTGCTTAATCGCCATAGCCAGAGCTTGCCTGTGCAGTACCTCTTCCTCGGTTAAACCCTTTCTCTTTGACATCGACCCTCTTTTACTCTTTAATCCAACCACGCCATTCTTGCTGTCTTTCTTGCTCATACACATTATATTCCCCATTCTTGGAGATATATTAAACAAAAAAAAAATAGAAAAGACTGGATTTTTAACAGAGCCCTGATAATAATTTTGCTGTGTCTTTGCAGAAAGTCACCAAAATTGGTTGGGAGAAGAGAAATGGAAGAGAATTTGGTATTTGTAATTGTAGGTGGTGCTGCTGGTGAGTGGATTTTTAATATCCGAATAATATTATTGCAGTTATTATATTATAGGAAGATGCTATGGTCCCGTTACGGGATCATTTCGTCAGGGTTTGTAACCGTTAGATCAACTATCTCTGACGGTTACATGATAATCTAACGGTTACAGACCCCGACGGAATTGTTCCGTAACGGGACCTTAGCATTTCCTTATATTATATTAACTACAGTCTCGTTACGGAATCATTCGTCGGGATTTGTAAACGTAAATCGTTTAGAATACAATCTTATTCAGCAAATCTTTATTCCTTTTTCTCTGTTATTGTTTTCTTTTTTTTCTTTTTTTTTTTTTTTGTATAGAGCCAACAATTGTTTACAGAGGAGCCAAAAAACCAGCTTTATGTATAAAACAAGTATGAAGTGCGAATTAGAAATGACTTAAAAGTATAATTTTTTGACTAAATAAAGAATATGATTTTTTTTTTTTAACTTTACTCCCATTGAAAAACTGGAGGAAAAGAAAAATGACATAGGATTTCAAAATTAGATTACAACTAGTACAATATCCGTGTACTACTACACGGGTGTTGAGCTAAAAAATATATGATAAAAGTTATTGCTTACATAAATTTTTTATTTAAAAATCTTGATGGACTAATTTATGAAAAAAAATAGAAATGCATAGAGTGATTCATAAATCGTAATTTAAGAGATAAATAATGGAGAAAAATATAATATAGTAAGATTTCTATTTGCCAAATCTAAAAAAGGAAATGTGTAATAATAAAATTAGATACGTACTTACCAAGTATGAAAAAAGTTATTTTTGTCTAATAATACTAAGTTAACTCCAGAGCAAAAATGAATATATTAGCGATATTACGAAATATAGAATTTCGACATGTCAGCATCCGAAGCGTGCAAGTCTGTCATTTAAACTCAACACGTTTTGAATTAATATATAGTGAGGAATAACAAGCGATGTTATTATCTAGTTTTTAGTTTCAATTTGAAACATTGCACCTCAAGGACTAAAAATTTGATTGATTTGGTTCAGTCTTTTTAGTAAAGCAAAATCAATTGGGTACTGAAAAAATATTGTACAAGGAAAAAGTTGCAGCTTTTGCAATGGGCTTCATGAAAATTGGGGATAAGGAAAAAGTTGCAGCTTTTGCAATGGGCTTCATGAAAATTGGGGATAATTTTGTATTGGGTTTATAGTTAGTTCAGTCTATAGTCAGCCCAATCAGTTAATTTTAAGAGGAAATTACCTCTCCCACTACACAATTACATTTTTATTATATTAAATTGCAAATTAATTAAAATTATCATATTTATTTGTAAACATACTAGATTGTTATTAATTATGGTAAAATCAGATTTAACGATGGTCATCCCCTTTTTATTCTTCTCCTTCTCTTTCCATCTCTCTCTCATCTTCTCTTCTTCAATCTTCCGCCGCTATTCTCCTTTCCCCACCGCCCCTTCGCCGCTCCGCCTCCGTCCACTGATCTGTTAAGAACCAATTTTTCGGCCACGTTTCCGTTCATACCCCACTCCTCATTTCTGATCTTGCACCTCTCGAGTCCACTCAATTCCTCAAAGGCTGAAACCCTAATCGCCTAAACTCCACAAAAAATTGCCTCGGTCCTCCGCCCGCTTGCCTCGAGTTTCACAATCTCTGCGAATGTGTTAAGAAATTCTAATAGTCTTGACACTGCTATTAAATAGAAAGAAGAAAAAAACAAAGAAGAAAAAAACGATCATTGTGGGAGGAACTGAAACGCCAACGAGTTTGGCGTCTCCGCCATTGTAGTATATTTATACTTTTTTTTGTGTAGTTGCAGGTATATATACTGTATATTTTTTGTATATATAATGTTTATAGTTTTGAATTGAAAATCATCAACATGATCCTCGGTATATATATTGTATATTTTTTGTATATATGTTGTTTATATTTTGTATATTTTCTGTATATGTTGTGTTCTCCACTGACAGAATATTTGTATTGAAAATCATAAAGATCGGCATAATCCTAGGTATATATATTGTATATTTTTCGTGTATATACTGTTTATATTCTGTATATTTTATGTCATGTTATCTAATTTGTATATAATTAGAAGATATTTAGGAGAAATCGATAAATCACGTCCAGCGCAAATCAATGTACAATTCAATTTTGGTAACTGAATCCTGGTATTTGTACAATTAAATAGCATTTATTTGGTACAAATATAATAAAATATTTTACTTTCCTAGGTTTGCAAATATTTTCCAATGAATACAGTATAGATGTAAATTCCCCTAATTTTAAAGCTTTGTGTCCAAAATTTTTCTCTATAATTCTATTTCTATCAATCCATATAGACATGGCTGGTTCCGACCCAGCCCGCCGAACCAGTCCCGAACTGGCTCGTATTGAGCCGGTTTGTTGAACGGGAACCTTGGCCATGCGGGTTGGTTTTGATTTTTCATTTTTCTTTTTTGGTCCCGGCAGTTCAGGCCGGGCCCGGCCGAGTCGGGTTGTGGGTTGGAAAGCGGCTCATAGTTTATTTTACTTTTATTTTTCAAATATAAACCCGGCGGTTCAATGAACTGTCGGTCGGGCCGGTTCACTTGAACCGGCCCATGGAATAGCCAGGCCGGTTACGGGCCTAGCATATGAGGCCCGCCGACCCGGCGGGTTGGGCCGAGTCGTGAACCGGCCCGGCATTTGGCCGCCTCTATATCCATATTTTGTGGGCCTAAATTATCTAGGGGGATTCAGAAAGAGAGGATGGGATTTGTATAGGAATATAGGATGCTAATTGATATGAAGCAATAATTTTTTTTTTTTTTTTTCAAATTTATCTCATCAACTAACAATAAGATGTAACAGAAAATGTAGTCTTTTGCATCAGCTTCCCACAGACACAAATTTCAATTATGATATGTCACAGTATTTCCCTTTTTTTTTT